TGTCAATCCTGTTTAGGATAACCCGAGCGCAAAGTATCTAGACGACAGACAGTAAGCAGATTGGGCGTTAGTTGCCGATATCGTGCAGGTCACCATTCTTGAACAATAACACGGTATTGCTGGTGTTCCACTGAGTAGGGACGTTGCACTCGGACAGGTGACGTGTGAAGAGCCGAACCAATGTGTTTGCGAGGACTGGCGGAAGGTTCTTCAGGTGTTCTGGTCTTATCCTGTGCAGACCTGGTGCTGTTCGATTTTTCACCGACGAAATAGCTTGTCGGATTTCGGAAAGGAGAACCGGTGGTACAACATATCCATCCTCCTTTATTTCATATGACGAAAGGTGGACATGGCTATCGAAGAGATCCGAGTAGTATTTGTGAATGATTTTCTCCATTGCCTTTCTGGCCACTGTAACTGTTCCGTCTGGGCGCCTTAGAGCAATCATTGTGGTTTTGTAATTGGCGAAGCTTCGTTGGGCTTTGCAAGTGCTTTTCCCAGTCTCTGCAGCTTCGGCCATTACTGCTGCTCTTCTTTCTTTAAGATCTTCTTTTATCGCCTGTCTGCATTGTTCTGCAAGTTCGGACGTTAGCTAGCGATTGCCTGCAGCTCGTGCGATTCCACACTGGCGTATCAGCTCGAGTGTTTCTGGAGACAGACGTTCTTGGTGACTTTCAAACTCTCAGCTTTCATAGCGCTAACGTGAAGATGTTGAATGAGCCGATCGTATTCTTCATCGATGTTATCGACAACGGCATCTTTCCAACAGCCAACTAATGAATTGAATAAGTCCCAGTTTGCGATGGTTCTGGGACTACGGTTTTGGAATTTAGCGGCTTCTTCTCTTTTCCGCGAAAAATAGAATTTTACACTAAGGAAACGGTGCTCTGATCCCGTGTAGAATGTTGGGACAACAGCTACATCGATTAGGCAAAACCTTCTATTCACTATGATGTGGTCTATTTCGTTATGGTACTCTCCATTGGGAGACTCCAACGTCCAGCGTTAAGAGTGGGGTTTCTAGAATTGCGAGTTACCATGGATTGTCTTGGTCGCCATGATAAACTCAGGCAGCCTCTCACCTTGTTCGTTCCATTCTGATCCGTGGGTCGCAATGTGACGTTCTTCTTAGTCCAGTCTTGGCGCTGATGTCTCCTATGATAACCTTGAAGAATGTGTAGTCTTCTCTGTAGAAATTCTCCAATTCCATGTAGGACGCTTCGACTTCTTCTTCGTCATAGTTTGATGCCCGCGCGTAAACAACGAAGGCTGTCAAAGCCGAAATTGATAATACACGTCTTTTTAATCGTAAACGTCCGATTCGGGTTGTGACTTATTCGAATGAATCGATGTTCATGGACAAACTCGTGTTAGCGAGAACGCCGACACCGCCGACTCCTCTACTGTCGCATGTTCCGAGAAACAGTTCTTCTCCGGTGCCATAGAATGCGTTGAAAGCCTGGCGTCTCCTCGTTTCGGCCAAGCCAATGACGTCGTACTTTATCCCTCTTGCTTGCAGAGCAAATCTTCTATTGAGGGCTCGGATGCAAGTGTACGTGCATTGCAAGTGCAGATCGTCACCGTAGTTCTTTGTGACCTAGGCAGCTTCCATTGGCCCTGAGATTTTAGCACCCTCTCCGTACTCGTCCTACCCAACGCTGCGGAATTGGGGCTCTTTTGGGAGTCAGGGAATAAGGCTCGTTTTGCTTTTTACTGTGTTTAGCATTTTTAATACCAACGTATAGCTTATTGGGCACTGAACGTGGGGGCTGGGTATACTCACGGGTAGCTTACCAGGCTCTCCCAGAGTGTACATGGAGCTTGTTGGCGGCGACTCCTAACCGCTTCCCATATACTTCCCAGTCATTTGATTACAGGCTTTTGGCCGAATTGATTCGTAGAGTACAATCCGCATAAGCAAGAACGCACCCACACACGCATGCATGAATTCGCCTAGAAAATACAGAAAGCATATGCCAAATCAGCGCAGCAAAAACAGGAAGTCCATCCCCTGATCCACCTTCGTCTCAGGGAAGCAAAGGTCACTTTTGGTCCTCGATTAACCCCCTATTCGCCACCTGGGGACGCGCCACGTAGCCTCGCGGCTAACCGGTTCGAGATCCCTCATATGATGAATATCCATGGCAAAAATAAAATGCCATGAGAAACAAAATTCTGAAGAAGTTTTTTTTGGAATATCCGAATTCACTAAAGCTTTACATTTGTTAGTTTACCGATTTTCTGTAGTAGTTTTTTTCCGACATTCCTCTTTCATCTTCATTTTTATCGTTCCGCATTGCTCTCATGATCTTTATTGCTCTTTCTAGTAGTTTTATTTTTTTCCAAAGGCAATTGTGGCTTTTAATCCTTTACATAATTGAACGTTAACATATAAGTGAGGGCGCGTGTGGCACAGTGGTTGGAGTCGCTACATATGGAAACGATCCCCGCGCCCACTGCTCACTAAGCCTTCCATGCATCTGGGGTCGGCAAATTGGTACCAGACTTGTCTGTGAGGATAGCAGCACTGGTTCGGTACATCGGTAGGCCACTGTGAGTCATTGTAGAGGCATTCAATGCATTCATTCACCTCCAACGATAGTTAATGAAGTCGAATGCATGGCGCATCTCTCAGGAATTGGTCAACGCCGAAAGCTTTATCTTTCTAGCCTCAACATTTAAGTATTGCCCCCAATTCACTGAGGCACACTAGGTTTTATTCTAGGCTCAATCAAACCTTTTATCCTTCCAGAAGTTGACATCGAATTGTTTTTAAACAGGCATAGTAATCTATTTAAAACATGTTCTGCAGGTGCGGTTGCTCAACCACATAGTGTCTGACACATGTTTGTACACAAAACCCTCAACAACTTAAATGGTAACAACTTTTTTAAGACAGTTGTAGTTTTTAGTTCCATTTGTGGTGTTGTTTTGCAGTTACCTCATATAAATCTATGGTTGCTAGGTCGTACAACTTCTCAGTGCAAAGCCAGAGAAGTCAACCCCTTTCTGTAGATTCTCAGTCAAGTTCTCTCACGACACATGAAACAACCTTCCAAATTTCTCTGATGGTTTTCAGTAATGTCGTGCAAAAACAGCGATTAACACAACACTGGGCTAAAGACGTCGAAAGGGGAGTTTAGAAAAGGATTCAGTGTGATAGACCACATTCACACAACAACAAGGCTTACTGAAGCATCGTGAGAGTACAAAAGACCGCTCTGTGTGACTTTCATTGATTCAAGGAAGGGTTTTGACTAAGTCGAGAAAGAAGCAGTTATGGAAGCCTTGGATAGCCAGAGCGCCCTACTCAGCATATAAAGATTCATCGTCAACTGTATAAAAAATCCATAACTAAACTATTACCGTTCAGCGATGATATTAACATCGGTGTCAAAAGAAGGACTAGTCAAGGCGATACCACCTTGCCGAAATTATTCACTGCCACCTTCCAGAACGTCGTGTGAACATTGGAATGGGATAATTTGGGAGCGGAAATCGAAGGTCGGCAGTTACACCATCTTAGCTTTTCTGGCGGTATTGTTCTTACAACACCAAGAATTACCCAGACGAATCGAATAGTTGCCGACTTTGATAACGCTTGTAAAAGTTTTAGCTTCCAATATATTTTATAAAAACGATGTTCATGAGGAATGAATTGGTTTCGTATGCCCCATTCATGCTCAAAAGAACGAATACCTCCCAATGCTCTAGTTATGTCTATCTAGATCGGGAAGTCAACGTGTTGAACGACTTAGCTCCAGAGTTGAGCAGAAGGAAACGAGCGGCCTGGGAGGTTTAAAGATCATCGAGAACGTGGTGAGGAGAACAAGGAACACCGACTCCATGCCCACCTTTCTCCGTACATAATTTTGCCTCTGACCTTAATGTATGCGTCAGAAACTCTGTTGCTACGTAAGCGGAATGAAGATTACTCAACGTTATTGAATGCGCAGTCCATAAGACAGTGCTGGGAGTATCCCACATTACGCATCTGAATGAGGAATTCCAACCTACGCCAAGGTTGAAAACCAAAGACACCTTTCTATACGCCAAATTGTCGAAGATAAGGTAAGCTAGACACCTAATGCGTACGAACGCCAACTGATGGACAGCAGACGTTAGCTGCTGCATTCCTCGGGAGGTCATATATACAGGGGAAAAAGTCTATCGATGCGATGGCCATCATTCTTGGCGGAAAACCTGGAAGAAAGATACGGTGCTTAACGACTCTTTAGAGCGGGTAGAACCCACTACAGAGAAATAGAAGGTTTACTGGTGCCCACTCGAGCCACTCGGCGATCAACGAGACGATAGGTAATAGTTTAATGTTTAAAAGTCACCATGACAGTGTTTTAAAAATTTCTAAGATTTTTAAACGATGCCTTAGACCTTGAAGCCGAAGACCTTATTCACTTACAGCTGTCCGTTACTTAAATGGAATTTAATGTTCACTTCGATCAGTATTGATTTTTATTCAGCAGACATTTCATTTCTCCTTTCACTGAACCACATAGCATCCACGAAGAACAACTCGGATAAACTTGGATACTATCATCGATCGTTATTAATATCTTGTTGTTCTCGTTCGGAATTCGCTAACAGTATGCACACATCAGGTGTATGGGATTTCTTATCCCAATTTCTTGAAAAAATTTGTTTTCAGTATTAATACTATTACTGTATTTTAGAATGGTGTCACTACTCTTCTGGCAGTGGTCAGTACTGGGTGTGTTGTCTCGCTACGACTCACCGATCGTCATCGAACGACCGCCTAATCGAGTTGAATTCGATGATCTACTTATGGAGTACAACAAAGACGAAGGACCGGCCACCAACGTATCGGTGACTGTTCATGCTAATATTGTTGTACATTGTGATTTCGAATACACCCTCAGCTTAACAAGGTTGAATGCCAACTTGTGTTTCCCAGATCAATCCCGTTGAAAGGTTACTGCTGATGTCACTGTTAGGTAGAAAAGTAGCTCAGAGAAAGACAAATCAAGCGTCTCAGTGGTGCAGTGTGCAACACGTAAGCTCGGAAACAGTAATGGCGGTTCGATCTGACCTGGGATCCAGGTTTGGCAAATATCTCAGCATCATTGTGGTTGCTCTTCGCATACTACACGGCGCGAAAAATTGTAATAAGCAGTAAACTAAAAGTTAACATTGTTCTAGTAATGTTTGCTTTCTTCTTCTACAACTATTGCGACCACTTTTACAAGTGACACTTACAAATAGATAAGTTGTAAAGAGTGCGGCGTTGATCAACCTCTTGGAGATTCCATACATTCGATCCCATTCATAGCGTCGCAGAGGCTGATTGAATTTGCATTTGACCAACACAATGACGTGCAGGAGCCAACCGATATGTGAAGGCAGTTTTTCATCGCTCAGATATGTTTCTCAACGATTTCCTATTCTCAGGGTGTTTTCATCGCCTTTGATAAGTTTCCTCAACACTTTCCCATTCTAGGAGGGTTGTGGTGCTCGGGAAATGAGATCGAATCAAAGCCCTTAAGTGCGCGTTGCAGGCCACCTAAGAATCGTTGTCCCACATGTGCTCTTTTACCAGTAAGCTGTTGAACAATTAGTTTTTCCCACTGGTATGTTTTTATTGTGCCTACTTCTTCAAGATTTATCCTCTGACTGTTACACACACCACTATTTCTCATTTGGCCATGGAGAATTATGTCTTCATGCAGCCTTCTTCTGGATTTGAGCACATTTTTTTTCTCAAGTTTCCTTTAAAAATTCTCATTCATTGACTAAACCGTTTTTTTAAAAGAAAACACTCATATTGAATGAGCTGAATCAGTAGAAATTTTCCAGTCTTTTCTTATTCAGGTGGATGTATTTCTTACCGTAAACGCTGCTGGCTTATTTGGTGAAGTTTTGCGTACATCTATCACTATGGAACAGACATGGACTGATCCGCGCTTATCGTTTCAGGGAGTGTCTGAAGTGCCAGTGAGTTCAATTCAAGCAGAGAAACTATTTAAATAAATAAATCGATTTCTGTCCTTTTAGGAAAAGGTAAGAGATTATTCCTCTTTAAAAGAAGTTTCTCTCATTAAAGGATTTTCTTGTGCACATCCTTTTAACACATGTGGTTCTTGCATTAAAAAGCTGATGTTAAAAAGCTCGTTGAGTTTCGAATAAATGGAAATTGTCACCGACTCAAAGCCAAAATTCGATTGAAGTGATCTGATTTTTACTACATCCACATTTGCGGATGAGTGGAAGGTTCTCCTAAAGAAGTATGGAGTTATTTTGCCGACTTCAAAAAGATGTGAGGCTTGTTAAGTCGGGCGCAGACTTGAACCAATAAGCTACACGACAGTATAGCCACTACAGCTTCTGCACCTAATGTTTCTATAGCTCAACTCAATTTAATAAGGGAACTTCAGCTGCCAAATAATGTGCTCAGTTGGCATCCGGATACGGTTGTTCTGAACTCTCTAAGTAGCGAAAACAAATTGATGTCATCATTTCTGAACTTCGACGGAAAGATACGTAGGAGGCAGTTGTTGCTCGTTGAGGTGCTTTGCGACGAGTCGCTGAACAACGAGACGAACCCGAATGTGAGACACTCAAAATTTCGAAGTGAATTTCGTCTGAAACTTCCAGATCAACCAACCATTTCTGTTGCAGATTTTCGAATGTCCGCTTCAGTTGACGAGTTTCAGTAATCGTGGATGCGATCAAATCACATACGCAATAGAGAAAATAGATATCAATCGAGTAGCACGTATCTCAAACGCTACCGTAATCGAGGATTTCTTTGACAGCCATTTAAATCAAACATCACACATGGCAACGGTAGTTTTGTACTTACAGAAACCGCATCGGTTTCATCATGGTGTTCGCGATAAAGGCATGTAATTCGCGCATTTCTACAATTATGGTCGAAGTTTGTAAATACGGCTGTTTTAGCTCATCATATGTTAACATTAGTTATCGATCTAAGGACAGTTCTGTATAGATGAGAAATGCTGGTTAGTTGTGCCAAAGAAAAATTATACAGTTTTAACAATTGGTTTCGAGTGTTTTGAATGGTTCCCAACTGCTAAGAAAAATAGCTTGACGAAATATTACCTTCGAAGACGTTGAAATAGTTTTGTTTCTTTTCAAGTCATCGAATGAAGTGATTTCGAAGTGTCAGTTCTACTGAGCTTTTCTCTGCTCTTAAATTTTTTTTGTTAATGTCTTTGTAATTTCTGCGTTGTTCATGCTATTCGAACAATAAAATAATGTTGTGACGTCAGCGGAATCCTTCTATACGAAGATACCCACATTTAAACACTATTGTCCAACCTACTTCTTAGTATTTACTTGTTTCATACCTATTTCCTACAGAGTGTCGATTTATTGATTTATTGGGTTTTAGTTGGGCTTTCGATAGGGTTATATCTTTCCATGATGTTCATGAGTTTAGCAGAAAGTGTTTAATACCGCAGTGTAGCTTGCATCAAGTCCCCATAAAAACTAAGAACATGAAAAGACATTATTGCTTTGGAGGTATTTTAGAGCACACGATTTTGTAGGTACACTGTACAACTCTCCGTATAGAGAGAAGTGTCTACTTTCATCGTCCTTCAATAGCTCCCCTCCCCACCTATTGTCGTGGGATATTCCTGAGCGACGAACTGCTTTCTGCAGCATGGAGTTCATTACCGACAACATCATGCAAGTTGACAATAAGTTCAGCATTTCCATCTAGAAATCCAGTTGATCTTGACTACGTGATGTTAGTGGAGTAGCCGTACGGATATATCCTGTTCAAAATGCTAATCAATCGAAAGTGATCGTGGAGTCCAGTACTGTCAGTTTGTTACCACTTCAAAGATTTTTAGCACGACTTCATCAGTGCTGAGCTAAAAAAAATAATATAAGTTCTCCTGTGGTCATAAAATGGTGTTAAACTGTTATTTTATGTACGTATTCAAAAGACCGACTTGTTCCTCTGGGAGAGTCTGGCAAGTAACCCGTGGGCATACCAAGCCCTCACGTTCAGTGCCCAGCAAGCTAAACGTGGGTATCAAAAATACTAAACACAGTAAAAAAAACGACCCTTATTTCCTTGACCCCAAAAAGAGCCCCCAATTTCGCAGCGTTAGGTAGGACGAGTACGGAGAGGGTGTTAAAATCTCAGAGCCAATGGAAGCTGTCTGGGTCACAAAGAACTACGGTGACGACCTGTACTTGCAATGTACGTACACTTGCATCCGAGTTCTCGATAGAAGACTTGCTCATGCATGCAAGAAGGATAAAGAACGACGTCATCGGCCTGGCCGAGACACAAAACGAAACGACACCACCCATTCAACGCATTCTATGACACCGGAGAAGAAGTGTTCCTCGGAACATGCGACAGTGGAGGAGTCGGCGGCATCGGCGTTCTCGTCAACACGAGTTTGTCCATGAACATCGATTCATTCGAACAACTTACAGGCAAAATCGGACGTTTACGATTAAAAAGATGTAAATCAATACCGGCTTTGACAATATTCGTCGTTTACGCGCCGACATCAAACGATGACGAAGAAGTCGAAGCGTTCTACATGGATTTGGAGTTCTACATAAAAGACCATACATTCCTTCAAGGTCATCATTGGAGATTTCAACCCCAAGATTGGACCAAGAAAAACGTCTGAAAAACGTCACATTGCGACCCACGGATCAGAATGGAACGAACAAGGTGAGCGGCTGCCTGAGTTTATCATGGCGACCGAGACAATCCATGGTAACTCGCAATTCCAGAAACCCTGGACGTTGGAGTCTCCCAATGGAGAGTACCATAACGAAATAGACCACATAAAAGGTTTTACCTAACCGATTTCGCTGTTGTCCCAAAATTCTACGCGGGATTAGACCATCGTCTTCATCGTACAAGATTCTATTTCTCGTGGAAAGGAGAGAAAGCCGCTAAATTCAAAAACCGAAGTCTCAGAACCACTGTAAACTGGAACTTATTCAATTCACTAGTCTGCTGTTGGAAAGATGCCGTTGTCGCTAACATCGATAAAGAATACGATCGGTTCATTCAACATCTTCACGTTAGCGCTATGAAAACTGAGAGTTCGAAAGTCACCAAGAAACGTTTGTCTCCAGAAACTCTCGAACTGATACGCCAGTGTGGAATCGCACGAGCTGCAGCAACCACGAATTAACGTCCGAACTTGCAAAACAACGCAAATAGGCGATAGAAGAGGATCTTAAAGAGGGAAGAGCAGTAGTAAAGCTCGAAGCTGCAGAGGCAGGGAAAAGCATTCGCAAAGCTCACCGAAATCCGAAATCCGACATGCCATTTCGTCTGTGAAAAATTGAACAGCACCAGATCCGGACAGGATGAAACCAGAACACCTGAAGAACCCTCCACCAGTCCTCGTAAACACGCTGGCTCGGCTCTTCACGCGTTACCTGTCCGAGTGCAACGTCCCTACTCAGTGGAACACCAGCAATACCGTGTTATTGTTCAAGAAGGGTGACCTGCACGATATCGGCAACTATCGCCGCCCAATCTTCCTGCCGACTGTCGTCTACAAACTTTTCACACGAGTCATCCTAAACAGGATTAACAGAACACTGGACGAAGGACAGCCATGTAAGCAAGCAGGGTTTCGAAAAGGGTTTAGTATGATGGACCACATCCACACGATAACAAGACTCATTGAAGTGACGCGCGAGTAGGAGAGACCGCTCTGTTCCACTTTTATTGATTTACAGAAGACCTTTGTCTCAATTGAGATATAAGCAGTCATGGAAGTCTTTGAAAGTCAGGGACACCCTAAACAGTACATAAAGATTTTGTTCGTATTTTTTGAGCAAACGCGAGGTGTTATTGTTCTTTGTTCACGATTAAGCTGACGTTTCGGCGAATTTCGCCTTCTTCAGAGCCGCTTTCTATGAGGTCTCCACTAAGTATGTCACGTAGAGACCAACCGCACAGAAATCACGTGGAAGTATAATGTGCTCGGTCGTGGCAGTACATAAAGATTCTTCGTGCGCTGTATGAAAACTTCACAGCCAAGATATCACCAGTCTACAACGATATTAGCATCAACATCAAAAGAGAGTTTAGGCAGAGCGACACCGTCTCGCTCAAATTATTTACCGCCACCCTCCAGAACGTCATGCGAGTACTGGAATGGGTAATATGGGAGTGAAAATCGATGGTCGGCAGTTACACCATCTTCGCCTTGCTGATGACATCGTCCTTACAACACCAAACACTAGCCACGCGGAACGCATGCTTGTCGACTTTGATAGAGCCTGTGGAGAAATTGGTCTCCGACTAAATCTGACAAAAACGATTTTCATGAAGAACGGATTGGTTTCGTACGCCCCAATAACGCTCAACGGAACAAATATCTCCGAATGCTCCAGTTATGTCTACTTAGGTCAGGAAATCAACATGCTGAACAGCTTAGCTCCAGAGCTGAGCAGAAGGAGACGAGCGGCTTGGGTAGCTTTCAAGAGCACCGAGGATTTAGTGAAGAGAACAGCGAACACTCGACTACGTGCCCACCTTTTCGACACAACGCTACTTCCTGCCCTAACGTATGCGTCAGAAACCTGGTCGCTGCGTAAGTAGGATGAAAGGTCGCTCAGCGTTGTCGAACGCACAGTCGAAAAGACAATGCCTGGAGTATCCCGTTCCACAGAAGTAAGATATGGGATGCGAAGCTCCGATCTGCGTCAATGATCAAAAATCAAAGATGCTGTTCTGTACGCCAAACATTAGAAGATAAGGTGCACCGGAGACATAATGTGTATGAATGACAACCGATGGAGATGAGTCGTTAGTGACTGGATTGCTCGGTATGTCGAACACACTGCAGGTAGATCACCGATTCGATGGTCAGAGCTCTTCGCGAAAAGCCTAGAGGAAAGATATGATACTCGACGATTCCCTAGAGCGAGCAGAACCCACTGGGCTACTCTTGCACGCGACAGGAAAAAATGGAAGATTTACTAGTGCCTGATCGAGTCACTCGACGACCATCGGGACTACAGTTGATACAGATGATGGAGTGGTTCGTCCCGTAAATTTTTAGGTGTTTATTTTTGAGTGGTTTGGTTATGAACTAAACACTATCGTGTGTTATCCACTGCACCACTGAGCCTCTTGCTTTGTGTTTCTCTCAGCTAGTTTTCTTAAACTTACGGTGTCATCAGCAATCACCCGTCAACGGTATGATGTGCGAAACACAAATCGAGATTTTCATTTACTGCCTATTATTCGTTCACGGCAGGGCGTTATTTGAAACACATCCACTCTGATGCTGAGATATTTGTAAAACGTGGAGTCCTTGCCAGACCCGAACCGGCGATGTTCAGCAGTGACTACTGATGGTACCGTTAGGATAAAAAAACCATCTGAGAGGTAGACAAAGCAAGGGCCTCAATGAAGTAATGGGTAGCACGTGCGCCCTCGGAAAGGTTGATAGCGAGATGGAATCTGAACTTGGGTCCAAATTTTACAAATGCTTTAGCATCATAGTAATTGTATTTCGTAGAATATTATGCCTCGAAAAAATAATACGTGGTAAATAAAATGGTAAGCATAGCTCATCAGTTTTACTCAAAATCCTTTTCCTGCGTTCGAAGCTTTCACTTCAACTCATCTTGCTGGAGTTGATCCAAAAGAGTTACTGAAAGAATTCTTGTCGCCCACACCAAGCCGCAGTGGTGATTTTTCACAGAAGTAAATATTTCATTCTGAGAGGACTCGAAAATGTCGAGACCTAATTTCTGCATGTTGCAGTCACATATTTAGAGAGTTGAAACGGAAATTCTTCTCAACTTCGCTAGAAATAAACAAAAAAAAATGTGCTTTTGTCAGATTTCTCATATTTTCGACTCTGAATAAGCTTACTCTA